TAGCATGTATCAGAACTTCATTCCTTTTTATAGCTGAATAATATTCCATTGTATAGATGTACCACATTTTGTTTATCCATTCATCTGTCAGACACTTGGGTTGTTTCCACCTTTGGGTTGGCTATTATGAGTAATGCTGCTATGAACACTAGCATGCAAGTGGTTGTTCAAGCCTCTTTTCAATTCTTTTGGGTATGTTCCTAGGAGTGGAATTGCTGAGTCATATGATAATTCTATGTGTAGAATTCTGTTTTTGAGGAACCACAAATCTGCTTGGAACCCCTTTTGAGTAGGGCAGGATTTGTGGTATTTTCTGAGCAACACTAATGTGCAGGCATAGTTCATTCAACGAGAAGAGCACTGGGAGCTCACTGTCAGTAAGGGTGTGGCACCTGTGCTCTGAGCACCTGAGCACCTTTGCAATGAGCCAGAGGTCAGAAGTTCATTGGTTAACTCTAGCTTCATTTCTCTCTTATACTCAGCAGTGGTTTATTGAAACAGATTCTGTGCTTCATTGATTTTTGTACATGTCAGAAGGAATAAGAATCTGGTTATTTGAGGAAAGGGAAAGAAAAAAACCACTTTATTTCCTTTGTGTGTGTGTGTGTGTGTGTGCATGTGTGTGTTTGGTTTGTTTGTTTATTGTTTTTGGCTTATTTGTGTTATAACCATTAACTAGTACTACATATCATGCAGTTTTGTTGATGTTGTTTTAAATTTCCCATTTGGCTGCTGTAACTAGGAATATCCTCAATTGATTGTAATTGCAAAAATATTTCCCGCCTTCTGCTATCTTTTTTTTTTAAAGCTGTTTTCTTTTTTTAGTGGTAGTTTTGGTGGGATTTTGAAGGTATAATTCCAAAATTCAGATTACTGAGTACTTCCTAAACGGGTCACCTTGAATATAAGCATTTGGGATGGGGGTATATTGTTATAGCCATCTTTGGAAAATACAGTCCTCCACATTTATCTGTGGACGTTTCATTAATTTTAATCCTTTGCTTATATGAACACTTTTTGCAATAAGCACCTTTTTAGTGGTATTTTTCATGACGTGGGTGAATATATGTATAGAATAAACTCCTAGCAAAAGGATTGCTAGATCAAAGGGCATGTTCCTTTAAAATATTAACAGATGTCAAATTGCACTCTTAAATGGTTGCACCAGTTTATACCGATTCCTCATTCTCATCCTAACAGAAGTTTATCAAACTTTTTGGTCTTTTGTCAGTCTCATTAATGAAAAGTGCACTCTTTTTAAGGAGTTGCTTATCTTTTTCTTATTAATAAGAGCTCTCTGTGTATTAAGCCTTTTGTCTTACCTACATTGTATTGCATACATCTTTTTATTTTTGTTTTTTTGTCCTCTGCCTGTGTGTATCAGTCTATGTGATATCTATTTTTAATATCTACATGTATATATCTTTACTTATAGCTATACTTTATATAGATGTTATGAATTGCCAGAATATGTGCCTATCCATAAAAGACAAATATAAAAATGCATGCCAAAATTTCAGAGGTTTTGGCACATTGTATTATGTTAGATTTTTTAACACTTTATCTTTCATCATTGCTACTCTCAATTCAAATGATCATAATTCACCCATGAAAATTTTTTCCATTGCAGTAAAATTCATATAACATAAAATTCACCACTTTAAAGTATATACAGATTTTTAAATGTTTATATTATATGGAAGAGTGAATGTTTCCATTTAATACATTTTAAAATATATGACTAAATAAGGAAAACATAATTAAAGCAGCAATTCCATTAGAAATAAATATGATTACTTAAGTGACTCCAGGGAGATCTACTAAGAATCAAGAGCATAGTATTCATTTTACTCCAGGAAGGCTTTAAAAAGAAGTTTACCTGAGTGATATTTTTATCAGATTAAACTGAAAGTACATTTGTAAATTATGTCTTAATGAGTGTGATTGCGTAGCTAAAGTTGCTATATCATACTTCTCAGAAGAAACTATATTATAAAATATCTCCAAGAAATTTCTGCCTGTAGGTCAGAGATGATTGGTAAACTATATGCAGCTATATTTCCCATCAATATACATAACAGTCATTAGGTTACACATTTATTGAGTTTTCTTTCTGTCTCCAACTGCAAATATGACTATAACTAGTAAAACCTTTTGTTAATAGCTTTGTGTAGGGCTGACTCTACAGTATGGCTTTATAAAAGTAGAACATTGCACAGTGGCAAGTTCAAATACCCTTGAGACTTGAGATGTTTTATTATATTGAGTTATTATTGAGAATCTTAAAGGAAAGTTGAAGTCTCCAAATCATTTTTATTTCGTGTTGAATTTAAGAAAACTTAGTTACGAGCAACAGTCTTACATTATCTGACAACTGCATGAAAATTCTGCTCTTCATTTAAGCTTTTGATTACTTATACAAGCTTATCATTTCAAAGTTGTTCATAGCCTTTTCATTTTCAATACACTCTCTCTTGCCCCAAGAAAAGTTAAAATCTTTCAGACTTATATTTCATGTTACATTAAATGTAGAAGTTTTTAATAGTTCATGTGTAAAATTCAGTTAATAATGATAATAAAAATATATTTAACATTCTAATATTTTATTTAAAGAAGTGATATTGAAAGTCTGGTTTTCCACTTGAATATTGTTTGCATTATGTGCAATTATTATCAAGATTCTGAATCTACAGGTGTTTTACTTCCATCCTAAGCTATTTATTTCAGAATAGAGGACTGTTTTTTAGATCTAGTATGAGTCTTCTAGAGTGAGTAGTTCCTCATGAGGCTCAATTTTTAAAAATACAGTTAAAGGAAAGAAGGAAGCCATTCATTTTCATGTTGAAAATGCTTCTTAGAGGGAACATTTCCTCATGTGGTCTAACTATTAAATGCAGGTGAAATAAACCAAAAAAGAGAAGCTTGTTTTTTTCCAACCATAAAGTAACTGAAGAAATGACTCAAGGCACTTTCTTGTATAAATACATGTTTTTATTATTTTTTTATTATATCTCAAAGATATGTTTTGATAGCTGAATACTTTTTATAATAAAATTGATTATTTTAATTTAGTTTGTAAATGATATGCATTAAGTGCTTTTTTTAAAAATTATAACTTCATAGTCAGTATAATCTAGTGAGAACACTTTTGGCTCTAACAGAAACAGAATTTTGTTTTTGGATCTGGCTTTGTATGTAACACCAAGTATGTCATTTTTCTTCCATATGTACCTCATTTGCTGTAGTGTTTCTATTACATTTCAGACTTGCATATGGTGGGTAGTATCTGTAGCCTGGAAGAACAGTTAGCAAGTACACTAATTGCACTTTTGTGGTATGGTCTATTCTCCAGGCTTACTATTTATTGATTTAATTGATGCCTGCTGCTTAATCAGAGGTTTTACCCACATGGAGCTATTTGATAAGCTTGGCATAAAATGCAAGATCTGTGAAATGTAAACAACGTTCGTAGTATAAGGACCTATAATCAAGCCAGACCTCTAGTCATTTGAAAATAGTGCAGCTGCATAAGAAGTAGTTTTCTATTTGATCTTTTTTGCTGTGGACATTTAAACGTACTTTATTGTGGCATCCACATGCTAATATTTATCATGATAGCTCATCTCTTTTTTTCCCCCTTTTGCTGTCCTTCCTCCCCACCTTCCTGCCATTTTGCCACTCCTTTATGTACATCTTGTTCTAGTTCCTTCTTTTCCTCACTGAGTATCTTTCTTCTTACTTTTTCTGATTTTCTTTTTTAGACTAATGTAAGTCAGACCACACTGAGTGTACTGCTAAAGCAGCTGGAAGTAATCTCTTAGCTTTTGCATTCTTTGGGCACCACAGTTTGGGAAATATGGATTATATGCCTTTGTAGGCCTGTTCTGTTCAGGATATTCCTGAGGTCTTGCAGCCAGTCCTTTTCTGTTCCATTTGTGGCAGATGACAATTCCTTGAGAGAAATTATGAGTTTTAGTATATGTTTTCTTCAACATACATGAAGTTGTGTATTGTTAACAATTTTTAAATAATTTTAAACAGCTACTACAGTAGAATCATCTGTGGGAGAAGAGGGAGTAAAATTTAATATAAATTAATGGGGCTACCAAGAACCCCTATCCATTCTAAACAGTCCTTAGAAAATACATTGAATTAGCTGATGATTTATAGAAAAATTATTGAACTTTATAAGGTGAGCACATATGGTAAAATATTGTTTTATTTAGTACAAAGAAAAGAATCAGAATTGAGGTAACTTTTTACCTTCTATTGTTTTCTGAGATTACTTACCCTAGTTTTAGATTGCATTAGGAGGTGGTACTTTTACACAGGTGTGAAATTACTATTTCTCAAGCAATTTCATAATAGAATTTATTAAAATTAAAAAGTGCCTAGAATATGTGCCTTAAAATGTCCTCGTATATTAAACAACTACTTGGTTTTTTCTTTCTTCAGCATTTCAGCCGTTATATTTGTTTCAGATTTTCTGACATGTTACAGCTTTTAGTGCTATACTGTGTGTGTGTGTGTGTGTGTGTGTTGGATTTAATTATTATTAATCATGTAAATTTAAATGGCTTTGAGAATTTGTCACTGACTTTGTGGTATCCTTTAATACATATATAGACAACAATGTAATGTTAAGAACTTAGGACTGAAAATTGCTTGGGAGAAAGATGCAGTAGTAAAAGATTATGAAATTAGATAAACATACTGCTTCAGTATACTTATATATATTTAATATCATATGTTTTAATGTTGGGGTGGAGTTTTTTTATTGCCATTTTAATTGTGTGTAACAGAAAACTACTTAATGGGATATAAAGGAAATAGTTAAGAAAATCATCAAATATTTTTATTTTAAGCATAATTTTTTTCCTTGTCCTCATTTATTAGTCTTATCTTTATGTCTCTACCCCATTACTCAAGGTTTTCTCCTTATGCATGAAGTTACACACAGATGCACTGTATACTTCATAAATCTGTGTCTTTTGTTGCAGTTAATCAGGCAGCAAAAGAAGACACCCTGGTTTTGAAGATTGGCTCTGTTGCGATGGCTCCCCAGGCTGACAATCCCCTTGGCAGATCTGTCCTCAGGAAAGATATTTACCAGTAAGTTTATTTTCTTATGTTCAATCTTGCAACAGTTTCATCCTGCAAAGAAGTACACTGATCAATAAAACTTGCTTAGTGTGGCCTGTAGAAATACTTTTCATTCGGGATCTTTTGATATTTAAAACCAGGTTTTTCTGATTTTCTTCAGTTGTGGGTTTTTAAATTCATTCAGACAAATCAAGTATTTCTGTGAAGTGTTGATGAATAACAGAATGTAAGTACCAAGTCACCATAAAACTGAAGAAGCACAGTTTGGAAAATTTTAGCAGACTTTAAATTTGACCAAATCTCTAATCACATAAGAAAACGAGGTCCTCTCTAGCACTACCATATCCTGCTATCGTCATGTTGTATCAAATGGAAGCATTTTCTTAATTTAGCTGTAAGCCGTTATTTGAAATGTAGAACTGTGGATGTCATGTGGATCAAAGCTGTGAAGAAAAGCAAACTTCTAAGGAAAAATTTCACAGTAAACACTTTCTGTGAAAATGCCATGCTCTGGATTTTGTCACCAAGTATTTGCAAACCACACCAAGCATATATGGACGACTAGACTGGTGAACATATGTAATCAACATGATAAAAATAATATATCATTCATGCTGAAGTTGGCACTGCTGTCAGACATAAAAGTACAGTTGCAAATAAACCAAGTGAGAAAAGTCACAGAAATACAGATGAACAAGTATCCTATTCTTTGTGCTGGCCTGTTTTTCAGATGTTGTGGGCTCACTCTTAAAAAAAAAATTCCTACTGTTCTCTAATAGATGTTACTGCTAAGGAAAAGATTATGATTTTTGTAAAGCATTTACCACCTAGAGGGTGACAGCTATTTTTCCGTTAAGTGGACCTAAGCATTTTATTTTTTCAAATTTTCTGATATTTGAGTTAATATTTTTTTCCTTGAATTATATATTATACTCTCTTTCTTATATTAATTTTTTGGTAACTTATAGTATTCATCCTTAAATAAGTTTTTATTTTGCTAGCTTATGTAAAATCTTAGATGTCAGAACTGAAGGAGGCTTTAGGAATTATCTAATCCAACTTCCTTATTTTATAGATTAGAAAACTGAAGATCCAAAAGAATAGTTGTCTCTAGTCAAATAATGATACAGCCAAAATTCATATCTTTTGATTCCCTCAGTATCTAGGGAAAGGATTACAGTGGAATCCTTTCTGGTTGAAAATAATTTAATTTTCTAACATTTGGAAATTCTTTCAGATATATTTATCTTTTCTTTTCACTTCAGAGGTAAGTGGTCCTCAAAGAGGGTCTATTTTATTTTTGGTAAAAGAGATATGTTTTGTATTAAAAGAACCTATCACCATCAATAAAGTGAACCACCGAGACTTCCTTTCCTCCTCTGTCCTTTCCATTTTCTGCCTCTTCAGCAGTTGTGTGTGGAGATGTGGCTCTCATATTCCTGCTGTCATTGCTTCCTTCCCGAACTTTTTTTCTCAGTCTCTCTCCTTATTTACTTTCCCTATATTCTTCATACCTAATTTTTCCTTCCCTTTATGTATCTTCTTTCATTCTTTCTCTATTCTCTTTCTATATTTTTTCCTTCTTTCCCAATTTTATTTCCTTCCCTGTTTCACTACTTTAAATGTTTGATTTGTTTTATAGAATATAGAAACATAATGCCAAAAAGTAAATTAATTGTAAAAAAAGCATATATTTTCTCTTTAGATCTTCAGTGCCTCACATTGTGCCTCACAAAAATACATAAAAATATGTACACAAAAAGTACATAATAAGTACTATATGTTTATAAAATAAATGCCCTTACTTTCTTTTTATAATTGACAACACCAAGGCACACAGAATGTTTACGTTTTGCCAAAAGTGTATACTTAACTAATGGCAGAGCCTTTCAGAATGTATTTCTTATGAATTCCTTTCAAAGTTCTTTTTAAATTCATTCTTCTATTATTTAGTCCTTCCCCTGATTATACAATTTAGTCATTTCACTGTCCTGCTCCCTTTCCATATATTTTAACTTTCTCTTTCATTTAATCTGCTCTTTGTGTTTCTTCTTTCTCTCTTGGTTTTTCTTTTTTTTTTTTTTTTTTTAAAATTTTTTTTATTTATTTTTCCCCCAAAGCCCCAGTAGATAGTTGTATGTCGTAGTTGCACACCCTTCTAGTTGCTGTATGTGGGACACGGCCTCAGCATGGCCAGAGAAGCGGTGCGTCGGTGCTCGCCCGGGATCCGAACCCAGGCCGCCAGCAGCGGAGCGCGTGCACTTAACCGCTAAGCCACGGGGGCCGGCCCTCTTTCTTGGTTTTTCTAACTTCTTTGACCTGATAAATGGCATCTATAAAAAACCCACAGCTAACCTAGTTGATGGTAAAAGACTGGGTGCTTTCCTGCTAAGATCAGGAGCAAGACAAGGATATCTGCTTTGACCACTTCTATTCAGCTGTGTAGTGGAGGTTCTAGCCAGCAGAGTTAGGCAAGAAAATAAAAGACAAGCAGATTGTAGGAAGAAATAAAACTGTCTTTTTGCAGATGACATGATCTTGTATATAAAAAATTTTAAGAAATTTGCTGAAAAGTTATTGGGCAAATAAACAAGTTTGGCAAGGTTGCAGGATTCAAAATCAATATTTAAAAGTCAGTTCACAGGGGCCAGCCTGGTGGCATAGTGGTTAAGTTCCCGTGCTCTGCTTCAGCAGCCCGGAGTTCCTGGGTTCGGATCCCAGGTGCAGACCTACACACCATTCATCAAGCCAAGCTGTGGCGGCATCCCACATACAAAAATAGAGGAAGATTGGCACAGATGTAGGCTCAGGGACATATTCCTCAAGCAAAAAGGGGAAGATTGGCAACAGATGTTAGCTCAGAGCCAATCTTCCTCACCAGAAAAAAAAAAAAGAATTAAATACTTATGAATAAATTTGCCAAAAGAAATGCAAAACTTCCACTCTGAAAACTACAAAACATTGTAGAAATAAATTAAAGAAGATCTAAATACGTGGAATTATATCCCATGTACATAGATCAGAGGACTTAGTATTGTTAGATGCTAGTACTTCTCAAAATGATCTACAGATGGGCCGGCCCCGTGGCTTGGTGGTTAAGTGAGTGCGCTCCACTGCTGGCGACCTGGGTTCGGATCCCAGGCTCGCACACCGACGCGCTGCTTCTCCGGCCATGCTGAGGCCGCGTCCCACATACAGCAACTAGAGGGATGTGCAGCTGTGACACACAACTATCTACTGGGGCTTTGGGGAAAAAAAAAAAAAAAAAAACTTAAAAAAAAAAAAAAAAAAAAATGATCTACAGAGTCTGCATAATCCCCATCAAAATTCCAGCCTCGGGGCCGACCCGGTGGCATAGCGGTTAAGTTCACCTGCTCTGCTTTGGCAGCCTGGGGTTCGTGGGTTCGGATCCCAGGGGTGGACCTATGCACCGTTTATCAAGCCATGCTGTGGTGGCATCCCATATAAAGTAGAGGAAAATGGGCACGGATGTTAGCCCAGGGCTAATCTTCCTCAGCACAAAAGAGAAGGATTGGCAACAGATGTTAGCTCAGGGCTAATCTTCCTCAAAAAAAAAAAAAATTCTAGCCTAGCTTCTTTGCAGAAATTGACAAGCTGATCCTAAAATTCATATGGAAGTTCAAGGGATCCAGAATAACCAAAACTATCTTGGAAAAGAACAACAAAGTTGGAGGATTCACACTTCATGATTTCAAAACTTATGGCAAAATAGTAGTAATCAAGACAGTTGGAGTAATGGCGTGAAGATAGGCATATAGATCAATGAATAGAATTGAGAGTTCAGAAATAAACCATCATGTTTACTATCCATTGGTTTTTGATAAAGGAGCCAAGATAATTCTTTGGTAAAGAATAGTCTTTTCAACAGATGTTTGTCAGACTACTGAATGTCCACATGGATTTGGACCCTTACCTGACACCATACACAAAAATTAACTCAAAATGGTTCAGAGCCCTAAATATGAAAGTTTAAATTCTGAAACTTATAGAGGAAAACATAGGAGTAAATCGTTGTGACCTTGGATTAGGTAATGATTTCTTAAAAATGATACCAAAAGCACAGGGGACAAGAGAAAAAATAGATAAATTGGACTTTATCAAAATTATAAACTTTTGTGCTGCAAAGGACTCTATCAAGAAAGTGACAATCCACAGGATGTGAGAAAATATTTGCAAATTATGTATCTGATAAGAGGCTTGTATCCAGAATATGTAAAGAACTCTTACAACTCAATAATAGGACAAAAATGGGTGAATGATTTGAATAGATATATATATCCAAAAAATATTTATATAAACATGGTCAATAAGTGTATGTAAAGATGTTCAACCCAGTTAGTCCTTAGGGATATGCAAGTCAAAACCACACCCGCTAGAATAGCTATAATCAAAAAGACAACAGATGTGGAGAAATTGGAACCCTCATACATTTCTAGTGGGAATGTAAAATGGTGCAGGTGAGGTGGAAAACTGTTTGGCAATTCCTCATAGAGTTACCATAGGATGCAGCAGTTCTCCTCTTAGGTAAGTTCCCAAGAGAACTGAAAACATATGTCCACATAAAAGCATGCACACAATGTTTATAGCAGTGCTATTCATAATAGCCAAAAAGTGGAAACTGCTCAAAGGTTCATCCACTGATGAATGGCTAAACAAAATGTGGTATACTCATACAATGGAATAGTATTCTGCCATAGAAAGGAATGAAATATATGTTGTAACATGGATCAACCTTGGAAACACGCAAAATGAAAGAAGCCAGACATAAAAAGCCACATATTATATGATTCCATTTATATGAAATATTCAGAATAGAAAAACCTATAGAGACAGAAAGTAGGCTAGTGGTTGCTAGGAGAGGAGAGAAGAATGACTGCTAATGAGATAGGATTTCTTTTGGAGGTGATAAAAATGTTCTGGAATTAGATAGTAGTGACGTACAATATGTACAGTGAGTAATTGTACAATACATGATGTATAGTGAGTAC